CCACATGGCAGCTATGAACTGTCCTTAACTCCAGTTCCAGGGGAATCCGAAGCCCTCTTCTGACCTCCGCGGCATTGCACGACACGGGTGCGCTCACATACATGCAGGCAATACACTCATACACATAAAGTAAAAAATAATAAATAAAATATTTTTTTTAATTAATTAAATGAAAATAAGAGGAGTTTTCCATGGCGGTGGGGACAGATTGTCAAGTGGGGCAGGTGAGATGATTCATAGGTAAAGCATCTGCCACACAAGCCTGGTGACCTGAGTGTGATCCTGAGACTCCTACATGAAATGAGAAAACCACCTCCACACAATTGTGTTCTGACCTCACATAAGCCCCTCCTCCCCCATACACATCATACACACACAATTATAATAATAAATGAATAAAATTTTAAATTGTCAAGAGAATAACCTAGTAAGCACCCTAAAAAGACATATTTTGATGGTATGAGAAAGAATGCATTTGAAGGAAAAAGAACTAAAGTAGGAAAACCTATTCAAAGTTATATATACAGCTAGTTATGCTAGTGGGAAAACAGCACTGTGATAAGGACGATTGTTTTAATTCTTCAAAGGTCCAAGCGAAGCAGAAGAATTCCAGCTAGAGGTGAGTGGGCTCCTAGGGGAGATGAATTGCCCGTACCAGTCACTGACATCTGGGGATGTGACCAAGCGCCTTCTTGTTCAGAAGAACTGCCTCCTTTTGCTCAGTAAGTTCATGGCTACTAGAATACAGCTATTTTCTGTTTATGTTTTCCATATCAATAAACGGGTTCTTCCTCTGTTTTGCTTCATTATAATTTGATTCAAATAGTATCTGTTACTTAATTATTTCCAACGTAGGAGCTGCTGGGCGTGGGCTGATGGCGTTTTGTCCTCAGGACTGCTGCTCTTGCTCACTTGTACTTTGGTGCTACTCAAGCTGCGGTGCCTTGCCTGCTGCAGCCAGTGGTGGAGGTGGACTGTTGTGCAAGTGTGTCACCGTGAATCGTTTGCATTTTAGACTAGAAGCACACTTGTAAATAGCCAGGGAAGACAGTGTATAAAGAAGGAAGATTGTTTTTAAGGAGAGCAGCATTCATTCCATACAATTTGTAATGTAAAATTATTTTGTTTTACTGGTATTTCTTTGCATTAGTAATGGAAGGTTGGTTTTGTTTATAAAAACACGAGATTAGAACTTGAATGATTCCTGTACTTACCGATCATTCTGGGAAATCAGTTTTTATGAAAATTCTTTCCTTCCCTTTTTGTTTTTTAAGAAAACTAATAGCTGTTTATCTCTTCATCCTGAGTAACAAGACTCAAAATTTATTGCATGTATAAAGTTGCCAACAAACACAACCAGTAGTTTTAAGTCGTATTTTGTAGTGTTCTGAAATTCATTTATCTTTGCTTAACTGAATATTAAGTTCACATTATGACACACATAATCCAGAGAATTTTTTTGCCTTTATAACTGTACTATGGTCTCTGAAAAAATACCAAACCCCAATTTTGAAGGCTAAGCTTTTTAGAAAAAGAAGTGTGTTACGGCAATTGTGCTTAGGCACTAAGATTTGGTGTGCAAGCACTTTCTCAGCTTCCCTCTGCCAGTGATTATTACTGGGGAGATAGGTGCATAAGGTCCACTGTTGCTTTACACATGGATATCTTGAATATAGTTTGCATACATTCATTCAGCATCCTTCAGATTGTACAATTTCCATAACAGCTCGGCAGCAATGTCTGGAACACAGCTCAGCTTCACCCAAAATGCTTGGCACTGAACATGTTATCTCCATAGAAAGATAGCAACTGTATGGAATGCTGAGCAATGACCCTGAGTCCCTAATTCTTTCTGAGAGCTCAGAGTTTAGACTTTTTAGTACTGATACTTAAGAAAACCACATTGATTATAAATCTTTGTAAAGAGTGCTTTTAACTCTTTCCTGTTTCTTGAGCAGACTGCCAGACCTTTTTTCATGAGGGTCATAATTGCACACTTTATTTTTATCGGCTAACACCTCAAAAGCTTTTCAGGAATGTACAGCCATTTGCTCCTCATCTAAATAACTAATTCCTCAGCCTGCACAGTAGTCCCTTGTCTCTGTCTTTTCTCTGCAGCCTCTCTGTCCTCCCATGCTCACCTCAGTTTGTGACTCTCCCGTACCTAATGCACGTGCTCATTGCTGCTGTGTAATTATTTCTCAGTGCCAGGTTTCCCTTTTGTCACATCTTGATGCTAAGACATCATTTCTTCCAGCACCCTGTCTTACTAATTTGAATCTTTTTAGCACATTGTCCTTTGAGAGAAAACTAAATGAACCTCTTTTGAATTAGCAAACCATAATAGTCTAGGGTAGTGGAAGAGTATAGGGGCTGCTTGGGCTCTTCCTGCCTTGTATGGTTCTCAGATTATTCCCTAGCTAAGTCAAGTCAGGTGTGAGTTCCTGGCACAGGAAGAGGTAGTCCTGTTCTTTGGAGGTAGGGCAGATCTTGATTCTTCAGTAGACTGTTAGTAGAGAGCCTCTTGTCAGTGTGGTTTTTTTTGTTTTGTTTTTTTCAGTGTCTCCAGCACATTTCTAGTGCTTTGAGCACATGGATGACCTTTAAAGTTTTTTCATATTGATTATATTGGTGAACTAATTTTGTGACTGCCTGAACCAGTTTGTTAAATCGTATATGATTTTCTAGAACAAGGGTTGGCAAACTTTTTCTTGAAGGGCCAGACATTAAATACCCCTGGCTCTGTAGACCCTAAGGTCTCAGTGGCAACTACCTAGCTCTGCTGTTGTAGCAGGACAGCAGCTATAGACAGTATATAAGGGATCAAGTGTGGCAGTGTGCTGGCACAGTCTATTATAGCAGCATTGGGTATTTTCATAACCATAAGGTTTTACTGTTTTTGTTGTCTTAACACCCAAGTTCAGTTTGCTATGTGGAACATATCAAGATTTTATTAAGCCCATTTGGAAAGACCTTTGCAAAAATTTACCTGCTTTTATTATTTTAGAACAGGAGCTAGCAGCTTCTCAGAAATGGTTTGCCAAAATTGAGGCCCCCCAGGGCTATAGCCGTATGCCCGGAGGGTATCAAGTCAGTCCTTCAAAGGCATCACGCTTTTGTGTTTCTAATAGGATTTAAGGACCTAGAAAAGAGAAAACATCTTTTCCCAGAAAGACCTTCCTTGTCCAGAGGGTCTTATTCTGCTGGATAACCTGAAATCTTAAGATTCAAATGACTAGTAATTTACTTTTATAAAGAAATGGAGTGTCCTTGGGAAAGTAAAAGGAATGTCCTTGAATATTTAGACCTTTGGCTGACTTACCAGAGAATTATACCAGGCTACAACCGACACAGAGGGAATACTGCCAAGAAATAATATGAAATCCCAAGGGATGGCATGCTTGCCACCAAGCCTGACAACTTGAGTTCAATCCCCAGGGTCTGCATGGTGAAAGGAAAGAACCAACTCCTTTAAATCGTCCTCTGACCGCCACACATATGCTGTGGCATGCATACTCACACAAAAATAAATCAATGTTTTTTTTGTTTGTTTTTTTATAAAAAGGAAGTGGTTTGAAAGTTTTTTTAGAGGAAGAAGGTGGGGAAAGTAGGGTAAAGGGCAGGTAGAGAATACAGATGAAGAGCACCTTCTTTGAGCTTTGACTCCTTAAAATGTTTCATATCATTTCTAGAAAGACTACTTATTGGAGCAGGTAAGAACCCAAGTCACTGCCGCTGGCACTTACACATGGTGGGAAGTTAAAAATCCTGCATTTCTTAAACTGTCATTAAACATTGGCTACCTGTCACCTTTTACAAATTTTGTAACAGTAACAGCTGCCAACCCCTGTTCTGGAGGTAGTATAGTCAAATGTAAGAATCCAAATCTGCAGGTGGGATTGACTTAGATCTTTGATTTCAAACAGTTGCCTGATTTTAATTAATCCATAAGCATTAGTTATTGACTAAATATCTGAATTATAAAACCAGCTTACTGTATGTCATTGCAGATGAAAGTGGTTTTCCTTTCTTGTTTTTATCCATTCTTGCAGCCAAATCTGCAGGTGGGATTGACTTAGATCTTTGATTTCAAACAGTTGCCTGATTTTAATTAATCCATAAGCATTAGTTATTGACTAAATATCTGAATTATAAAACCAGCTTACTGTATGTCATTTGCAGATGAAAGTGGTTTTCCTTTCTTGTTTTTATCCATTCTTGCAGCTTTAAAAGTTACATATCATTAGGTCTATAGAGTTGTGACTCCAGACTATGACTATTAACTATAGCTGTATCTTATTTTGAAATCTTATTTTGTTTACTTCAGCATACCTCATCTCAGAACTAGAAGCTGCCAGAATGCTCTGTGTGAATGCTCCTCCAAAAAAACCTCAAGAAGGAGGCGGTAGTGAGGTCTTTCAAGAGTTGAAAGGCATATGTATTGCTCTAGGAATGTCCAAACCTCCAGCCAATATAACTATGTTCCAATTCTTCAGCGGGATTGAAAAAAAAGTAAGACCTTTAGTACCACCAGATTGTAGTGTATTGAAGGCTTAGTCCTACATTTGTTTGAAATGAAGCATTAAGTTTATTTCTCTGAATGGGAACCTAATGTACATATTAATAAGTAATGTTACTAAATGAGTTTGGGGTTTAAATCCTAGATGCCTTAAAGAGAAATTAGTGTTTTAGTGTTTTTGTTTGTTTGGTTTTTGTTTTTGTTCTTTTTAAACATTGGAATGATTCTTTTTTAAAAGGAACTTTATATTTTGGTTTAAAAGCTGAAGTAAGCCAGCTATAAGGTAAAAATAAGATTACTGAGTCCTTAAAAAAATTCTCATTGAACTTTGATGCAATTTTTATAATTTTTATCATCATTACTATTTTCCCCTCCCCCAACTGACTAGACAGAAAAGGATGTTAATAAGCTCTAAGTTCTGTTTTCTTTTTTTTAAATATTTTATTTTTTTTTAATTTTTGTTTTATGTGTATATGTATATTGCCTGCATGTAGGTAAGTGCACCCATGTCGTGCAATGCCCGCGGAAGACAGAAGAGGCCGTCAGATCCCCTGGAACTGGAGTTTTGGACAGTTGTTAGCTACCGTGTGGGTGCTGGGATTCGAACCCAGGTTTTCTGCAAGAACAACCAGTGTTCTTAACTGCTGAGCCATCTCTGTTCTGTTTTCTAATCCAGCTACTTTGGGTTTATAAATTCCAACTAGCGAACTAAATTTGCTGACTACTAACATAATTTAGTATGTGAAAATAGAATTATTTCTATGCCACACATTATCAACAGTTAAGATATTTTTTATATAAATGATTAAGAACAAACAATTTAAATTTTAAAAATGAGTAAGTAAAAGAAAATGGTATTTGCTGTAGAAAGTTATTTCCTATGTGAATATCTGCTGGACTCCAAGAAGTGGTACACTTGTACCGTGGGGTAGCTGGGCACCACGGTGCACAGACCCTACTCAATGTGGTGGGGTCAGTGTATCTGTAGTCCATATCCTCTATGCGTTCATCCATTCAGTCCATCCATTGAGTGCCTACTGGTGTCGGGCATGTTCTAGGTCCAGAAAGGATCCATGCTTCTGTAGTCATGAGAGTGGGACAAGCAGTGTCCTTATCTCATGGGTCTTTGCATTTACGTCTCACAACTTCCTCTACTTTTGCCTCTGTCAGGAGTTCTCTTTTGATGACAAGATATAATGGGAATTGGGAAGAGGAGGAAGATGCAGTTACTTTTAGGGTTTTTATTTTTTTAATTCATTTATTTATGTTTTTGTGTCAGTTAAAGGAAACATTAGCAAAAGTTCCACCCAATCATGTGGGAAAGCCATTACTGAAGAAGCCAATGGGACCAGCCCACTGGGTGAGTAGTGATCTCCTGGGTTAACCTCACAGGGAACCATCCTTCATTTCAGGGCTTTTATGTCAGCACTCGTAGCCCAGGCTGGCCCCAGTCTTCCAAATGCTGGGATTATGCCTGACTTAAATGATATTTTCACATATATGGTTTGCTTCATGAGCATCTTTAGAATTACTTTTAGGAATCTCTAGATTTATGGAGAATAATTTTATTTGTATATGATTAGAAACAATCACATAATTTGTAAATATTTCATGCTCTTATTAAATAAGTTCAAGTTCCAAATGAGTGGAGCATGTTTCTAATTGACACACGGATCCATTCCAGAAATCTCAGTGAGCTGAACTTCACACAGTGAATTGTGGGAAAGCTAAACAAGAATTTTTTACTTTAACCTATGATTTCACCAACTATTGATATATTATGAAGTAAAAAGGACTATGTGTTTTGAATTCCTTGTGTAGGAAGCAGACATAGTTTCTGCCCTTTAGGAATAAGGCTTAAATTCTAACTAGTTTTTTAATTTTTGCTTCAGGAAAAGATAGAAGCAATTAACCAAGCCATTGCCAATGAATATGAAGTCCGGAGAAAACTGCTGATAAAACGTTTGGATGTCACTGTGCAATCCTTTGGCTGGTCTGACAGAGCTAAGGTACACAGAAATAATTATTTGTAGGCACAGTCCCTAACCACCTACAAGGAAAGCTTCCCATGTTATCCTAGCCCCGCCTTCATTCTTTGATGTATCAACAGCTCTGGTAGCTGTATTTGTACAAGATAGTGAAAACAATACTGAGTTTATAACTTTTGCCATCATTCAGAACCCAGTAAAAACCTGTTATCAGATCTTTTGGGGGTTTTTTGTTTGTTGTTTGACAGGGTCTCCTTAGTCCCAGCCCTACACCTAGAAGTCATCATGTGACCAGGCTGGCTGGCCTCGTCTCACAGACATCCCCTGCTTCTGCCTCCTGAGGGCTGGGATTAAAGAGGAGCACCACCACACCCAGCATCTGTTATCAGATCTTTAGCCTATTTAATAGAGGTGTTTCAGATTTCATTTTGAAGATTAACATTTGTCTTTGAACATTTTTCTTTCAACAGAGTCAGACAGAAAAATTAGCTAAGGTTTACCAGCCAAAGCGTTCAGTCTTATCTCCTAAAAGTACTGTTTCTGTTGCCCATCTTTTGGCTGCCAGACAAGATCTGTCAAAGATTTTGAGGACAAGCAGTGGTTCTATAAGAGAAAAGACTGCCTGTGCCATCAATAAGGTGACTAGAGCACTTTTTATTTTCTTTCGGATGCATTTGTCTCTGTTTGTAAAGTGAGATGTTTAATATCTTTCTTATTCCATAGGTATTGATGGGCAGGGTGCCTGACAGAGGTGGTAGACCCAACGAAATTGAACCTCCACCCCCAGAGATGCCACCATGGCAGAAAAGGCAAGATGGCCCCCAGCAGCAAGCAGGAGGCCGAGGAGGAGGGAGAGGCGGTTATGAACATTCGTCATATGGAGGACGAGGAGGCCATGAACAAGGAGGGAGAGGTGGACGTGGTGGCTATGACCATGGTGGCCGAGGGGGAGGAAGAGGAAATAAACACCAAGGAGGCTGGACAGATGGAGGGAGTGGAGGTGGAGGTGGCTACCAAGATGGCGGTTATCGAGATTCAGGTTTCCAGCCAGGCTATCATGGTGGCCACAGCAGTGGCTATCAAGGTGGTGGCTATGGTGGTTTCCAGACAACTTCATATACAGGAAGTGGATATCAGGGTGGTGGATACCAGCAGGACAATAGATACCAGGATGGTGGGCACCATGGCGATCGAGGCGGTGGGCGTGGGGGGAGAGGTGGGCGTGGAGGCCGGGGTGGACGTGGAGGCCAGGGAGGAGGCTGGGGAGGACGAGGGAGCCAGACTTACCACCAAGGGGGCCAGTTTGAACAGCACTTCCAACATGGTGGCTACCAGTACAGTCATTCTGGATTTGGACAGGGAAGACATTATACTAGTTGAGGCTACAGAAACTTAGATTTTGCTAGAGCTCAAATAATAGAAACTTAGTTTTGGAATCCTAATCAAACATCTTTTTGAATTAATGTAAGACCACAGGTAGCAGGCAGATTCCTGCTTGGTATAAGCAAATGTAGGTCTTCCGTTCAACTCAGTTTTTTTAGTATTATTATTATTATTAAACAGTTTTACATAACACTGTTTATTTAAGAAACACATCTCTCCTTTCTATGAAAAACAGATTTTTAAAGGTAAGTAAAATTGCCTTTAATTGACCAGTAGACTAATTCCACAAGTTAGAACATACATGCTTTTTGGAAGAAATTACTTGAATAAAATAGTTTTCCTGTTTTCAATATGCAGTTTTGAAAATGAGGATTTGCCTAGACTTTTTTTATATTTACTGCTAGGAAACTTTCCTCATTAACAGCCCACGAATGTGTGTTTTGCATAAAATATCTTCTAACGTCTATTTTCCGAGCACAGTTCTGCCCTGATTGGGATTTAATTCAGAGGTTGTACCACGTTCGCTTCATGGCAGACGTGCGGTCAGTTCTATTAAATGAGCTCTTCTGCAGATAGCAAGTTCAGTAGCCTTACCGTTGATGGAACATTGTACCACCATACGTTCCAGTCCAAAAACACGGCCAAAATCCATAAAGACAAAAAGCAAACTAAGTTGTGAACCTATAGTCCAAGTAGGCATTTAGTTAAGTATAGCAACTCAACTGACCTGCATCCATCCAAGACAAAATTCCTCCTTCAACCTTATTTTTACTTGAAATTTGCAAGAAGAAACTGCAAACAGGAATTTGTTTTATGCACGAGTTGATCCCACTGGCTCAGCAAATGCAAGTTAGTTTGCTTTAGGCAAGAGACCTTTTTGTAACAGAAGTGCACTAACAGAGTCAGATGAGTTCTGCTTGGTGCAGGAGGCCCTTTCTTATTGCTGCAGAGAACAGATGCCTGGCTGAGTCGATGTTTCACAGTCTCCTTTACTGAAATCTGTGCGACATGATGCTTCTTGCTGGGTTTTGTACATGTAAACATTGTCAAGCTGTGAAAGAAACCGGCTGAGGTGTGTTTTGTGTGAAAGGTGAGCAATAAAGCACCCGTACGTTCTCTCCTTGCCTCGCCTGAGTTTTATTCCAGCTGTTTTCTAGAACTAAATTCTTCTGAATATTTGCATCAAGCTTATGCCTAAGGTTTTTGTTCCCAAAGATTCTTTAGTATTTCCTTCAGTAAAAGGTAACCCTTTTCTAAAAGCTCAAATAAATTGAAAATAGCTATTTCGAATGAACCCTATTTCTAACCATAGCACCAGAAAACTTCACTTTGTCCACTGGGTGTAGCTGTTGCTTCATTTTAGGCAAGGTAAATTGATGTCCCTGATGTTTTAGAAGGCTTTGTTTCTCTAGTCTTCATAAATGGGAGACTGTTTTCTTTAAAGGAAATAAATTGAAAATGCAAACATGTTTATTAAAACAGAAATTGTATCTTATACTACATGGGCTTTATTAATTTTTTGTTTGTGTGTGTGTGTGTGTGTGTGTGTGTGTGTGTGTGCATGCGCATGCGTGTACACATGTTTAATTCAGAGGACAACTTTCAGGAGTTAGTTCTTTCCCTCGACAGTGGAGTCTGGGAGTCGAACTCGGGAACCAGGCCTGTAGTCAGGCAAGTTCCCTTTGCCATGTCACAGGCCGTAAATGGAACTTAAAAAAATCTCCAGTTCCAGGGGATCCAACGCCTTCTTCTGACCCCCTCTGGCATTGCACATGGGTGCACTTATACACATGTAGGCAGTAGGCTCATACACATGAAATAAAAAATAATAAATATTTTTAAAATTATGTCATCATTAAAAACATTTTTACTATTGGGATAACTAAAACCATTCTCGAAAGACCACCATGATCCCTTTGTTAACTTTACTCTTTTATTTTTCAGTTTTCTTTTGCTATTCTAAGATGTTCAAAATGCTCCATTAAAACTGATTACAGTTTAGGATTTATCTTAAGCAGTGTTAAATACATTGGCTTACTGTATATAGGAACTTCCTGTCACATATACAGGCATCACAGTTGCATGTCTTGAAATGATACCTTAGGGTCTTCACATTTAGAGAAGTATTTAGTCAGTTTACAGCCCTTGGCTCATTTCTCCTACTAAACTCATTCTTTTGACAAGCAGAATTTTGCCTTATCTTGCAATCACTAGATTGCTTTTTCAAATATAACGGTGTCTGAAAGCAAACAATGGATTTCTTCACAATAGCTCTTAAAATTTTCATCTTTGTTTCTGCTTCAAAGTAGATATTTTTCTCAACATTATGAAAGCAGAAAAAAATAATTTCTCCTTTTGAATTAACTTCTCTAGATACAATATATTTCAAACCACAGTTTTATTAAGATTTTGGGGTTTTGGGGTGTTTCTTTGATGTTACACATGTTCTGTTTTGACTTTGATTTGTTTTGCTTTGTTTGAGATAAGAATCTCAATACCTTGCCCAGGCTGGTCTCAAACTCTTAGACTCACATGATCTTCCCACCTCAACTTCCCAAATAGCTGGGACTGCAGTTATGTGCCACCACACCTGACTTGACTTTATAGACATTCTTAAATTTGTAAGTAGTGATTTTCTGGAATAAGACATGGGAATTTCTTAGAGAAAAGATTTTAGGAAAGAAAGTTTTACATGAAACCTTAAGATCTCTCTTAAACAGGCTGAGATAGACTGCTTGTATCTGGTCTTTGTTTCTACCCATTGTCAGGAACCACAGCAGTATCAGCGCCCTCTTGGAATTGTTAAAATTGTGCCACCTGTCATTTCACTTCTTGATCTAGAACCAGACTGGCTGGTATCCAACTATACCAGACACAGAATAGGTTCTACCTGAGGAAAAGAATGGAAATCATTTCTATGCCTACTTAACCAATTTCCAAGTGGCAGATCACCTTAAGTATTTATTTTCTACACATTCTGTACTTTGCTTGTACCCTTTTAAAAAAATAGATTTTAAACATATATACATATGTTTAAATCACACACTACCTGAAGTAATTTGGATGGTATTGATTCACATTTGTTGTTGTTTTGTTCACTTGCTTGCTTGCCTTTTTGATTCAAGGTCCCTGTAACCCAGGCTAGTCTTGAACTCACTGTTTAACCAAGGATGACCTTGACCTACTGACCCTCCTACATCCACCTCCCAGGTGCCTAGATTACAGGCATGCACCATCATATCCAACTTTTTTATTATTCATTTTTACTTTATGCATGTGAGTATTTTGCTTGCATGTATGTAAGTGCACTCACACATGCCATGCCTACATAGGCCAGAATAGGGTTTCAGATCCCTGGAACTGGAGTTACAAACGGTTGTTAGCCACCATGTGGATGCTAGGAACTAAATTCCAGGACTTCTGGAAGAGCTTTTTTAATAGGATCATTGGTTTTAACCAAAGTAGGAAAACACATTCATCTTGTGCTCTCTAAGGCTTCTTTTTCTGTTTGGTTTCCTTTTTCATTCCTCGTTAGCAGGATTATAACTAGAAATACTCTTTCTGTTCAGTAGCATATATCAGTAACAAATACGTGTACAAATTTGGAACCTATATAATTGTCTAGAGTGAGAATAGATTTAATGGCAGGGCTGGGAAGCTAAGAGAAATGAGATACAATCAAGTTTAATGTAGTTTAAGAGAAAAGTACAGATTTGGGAAATAATTAGATGGCAAAATGTGAAGTTTTTGAGAAATTTGTAGAAATTCATTGTGAGCCCTTTGTGTTGTTTAAGTAGGTGCTGGGAACTGAACCCTGGCCTTTTGGAAGAATAGCCAGTGTTCTTAACCACTGAGCCATCTCTCCAGTGCCGTCCCCCGCCCCTCCCCCAGTGCTTCCTCACCCTGTGACAGTAGTGATACAGCTCCCAGGCTGGGTTGTCTTAGACTCTTGGCCCTAAAGTTTGACAGCCCTCCTGAGCTCTTGTGATGAGGGCCTGTCGCTCTGGCTCTTTACCAACTTCTGTCCTTTAGCCTCAGCTGGCTAGCCTCTCTCACCATCTTCATTCCTGCCTTTGCTGCTCTTGTACCTATCTTGCCGTACTTTCTCCTTTGCAGCTGTCAGTGCAGTCTGCTCTTCTGCTGCAGGCTTCCTGCTGATGGTTCAGCTCTGCCTCTGCCTCAGGTTGTCAGGCTGCGTCTGTGACTCCATGCTGGCCACTCTGCTGCTTCCTTCTTCATGACTCGACTCACTCCACCAAAAGCATACAGAAAAAAGCCCACTTGAGAAGCCTTTTATTGACTCTGATCTTACAACCCCAGGTAGGTAGCACCCTGCACCAGCTCCTTTAGTAAGCTAAGCAGCTTCCTTACATAGGAAAGGGGTATTTGTACAGTCACAGCAAACTCTCATGCAAATACAAGTTTGCATTGGCACCAGTCATGGCATTGTTGCTTTTCATTAGTCACAGGGCCACCAGGAAGTGCCTGGTCCCCCTGTGGTCTAGGTGAAACAGTTACAGGTTTTTCTTGAGTTCCCTGAAGTTTCTGATAGGAAAAGGCCTTGTATAAACTATTTGAAACAGTCCTGGCTGGAGTTGCGCCTTCAGAAGCCAGAGCAAGCACCTGCAGTGCCATGTGGTTTCCTCAAGGCAGCCATGGAGTATTCAGAACAGTAGGCCCCGGCATACGGTGTTTAACTCAGTTCTTTTGCTCTAGCAGCCAGAGCAACAGACTCTAACAGTTGCCAGTTAAGGAATCAAATTTCCCCATCCCCCAGTGACTGCTTATTTGTAGGAAAATGAACATGGCAGAAGGAATGCTTGCAGTAATAACAGTCATACCATCGACAATAATGACTATAACAAATTTTAACAGTGCTTTACAATGCTTAATTAACACCTGCCTAGTTCCCTAGGATGAAGTGGGTCTCCCTCAGTCTCAACACTTATTTTCTTTGAATCTTTTATTTTTCATTTTATGTGTATGAGTATATTGCCTACAAGTGCACGCATATCGTGCAGTGCCCACAAAGGTCAGAAGAGGGCATCAGCTTCCCTGGAACTGGAGTTACTATATGGGTGCTGGGAATCAAACCCAAGTCTTTTGCAAGAGCATCCAGTACTCTTAACCACTGAGCCATCCCTCCCTCTAGCCTGGAGAATTGCTTTACTTTAAGGGATTGACTAGATAGGTTGACTAGGCTCCAGTGAATGGACTCACACCAACGGACATTTGGGGACAATAGGACTTAACATATATGACAGAATGTATGAAATCCAGTGGGGAGGAGGGCTAAGGAGAAGGATGTAGAAAGGGGAGCGGGTTTATATATGATCGAGATGTATTATATGAAATTTGCAAAAATTAAAATTAAAAGTGATCTGAAAATGCTGTGAACAAATTAAAATGAGAGAAGACCAG